AAAAGCCCTGTGGCATTATGGAATTAGACAATTAAAATCCCGGTGGACTGCCAGTTCGATCTTTTGATAAAGATGTACCAGTTCTATTTATATGGCTTTTGCATATAATATTAAACAAAGAAGATGGGCATGTATTTGGCATGTGATCTACAGAGAACATGTTCGAAACATTAGATAGTTTAATTGTACACGGTTTGGTCGGCTGGGATATCATCGCTACATGTACATAAACAAGGTTTAATGAAGCACCACATTTACACAATAATTAGATATTTTTGGTAAAAGTTCATTTTTATGGTCTTTGGGTTCTCTGCTCATTTTTTATAAAAGTTTTCTCTTTTCTTTGAATTAAAATGCGCATAAATAACATTTAATTGATACTGCAGAGAGATGACTCAGAGAAAGCAACTTTTTAAGAAAAACTTGGTTAAATATGTGAATTTCGTACCAAATTACACATCTATCTAGCAATATTTAAAACATATTTTTAAAGAAATTAAAACAAAATTTTCCGAAAAATTTCCACTTTCTTATATCACAGGAAACCCGATCAATAAAATGCTTAAAAAAAACCCCACATGTCCCCTAGTACCACTATTTTGATTGAAATAAATGAATAAACTGAACTTCTGAATATTAAACCCTCATGCTGTAGAATTTGACAAATTTGAAAAAAAGGGATAATACTTTTTGCAATAACCATTCAACATACCGTAATTCATGGCAGTAATAGTCTTTCGATTAACGAAATAGGTTTTTTGAGTTTCGTTTGTTTCTGTCCCCTGATACCACAATGTATTAAAGGCTTAATTTTTAAACAGCTTTGACTGATTAACAGCCATTAAAGAGAAGAGCGGTGCACAATGAACCTACAATATTGTTCAGGGTTTTTCTTACACACGATTGTTACTTTCAAGTGCTCTTTCCAAATGTCATAATTTAAATATCAAGAGTTAACATTCATTTACCTTACATAATACATTGAACCAGCGGCCTTAACCTTAGGAAAAACAATGAGACAATCATGGTTTCTATTTTTTTCTTGTTTTGTTATAAAATGATATAACTTTCTAATAACTAAAATATGCCTAGACTTGATAATACATCATTTATATAGAGATATATAGAGAGATTTTTCGTCTCGGTATACTTGCAAATTTTAACTTAAAAGTTTTCCTGAAAACGATGCTTTCCAGCTCTATTGACAAACGGTATTTTGATGTTATACTGACAAACGGTGTGTTTCTGTGCTACTGACAAACGGTGATTTGATGTTATACTGACAAACGGTGATTTGATGTTATACTGACAAACGGTAATTTGAGGTTAAACTGACAAACGGTGATCAGAGGTTATACTGACAAACGGTGATTTGATGTTATACTGACAAACGGTGATTTGAGGTTAAACTGACAAACGGTGATCTGAGGTTATACTGACAAACGGTGATTTGATGTTATACTGACAAACGGTGATTTGAGGTTAAACTGACAAACGGTGATTTGAGGTTAAACTGACAAACGGTGATTTGATGTTATACTGACAAACGGTGATTTGAGGTTAAACTGACAAACGGTGATTTGAGGTTAAACTGACAAACGGTGATTTGAGGTTAAACTGACAAACGGTGATTTGATGTTATACTGACAAACGGTGATTTGAGGTTAAACTGACAAACGGTGATTTGAGGTTAAACTGACAAACGGTGATTTGAGGTTGTACTGTCAAACGGTGATTTGAGGTTGTACTGTCAAGCGGTGATTTGAGGTTAAACTGACAAACAGTGATTTGAGGTTATACTGTCAAACGGTGAATTGAGGTTATACTGACAAACGGTGAATTGAGGTTATACTGAAAAACGGTGAATTGAGGTTATACTGACAAACGGTGATATGAGGTTATACTGACAAACGGTGATTTGAGGGCGAATTGAGGTTATACTGACAAACGGTGAATTGAGGTTAAACTGACAAACGGTGATTTGAGGTTAAACTGACAAACGGTGATTTGAGGTTAAACTGTCAAACGGTGAATTGAGGTTATACTGACAAACGGTGATTTGAGGTTATACTGACAAACGGTGATTTGAGGTTAAACTGACAAACGGTGATTTGAGGTTAAACTGTCAAACGGTGAATTGAGGTTATACTGACAAACGGTGATTTGATATTATACTGACAAACGGTGATTTGAGGTTAAACTGACAAACGGTGATTTGAGGTTGTACTGTCAAACGGTGATTTGAGGTTAAACTGACAAACGGTGATTTGAGGTTGTACTGACAAACGGTGATTTGAGGTTATACTGACAAACGGTGATTTGAGGTTATTCTGACAAACGGTGATTTGATGTTATACTGACATTGTTTTGGAGTTTAAATGAGAGAATTAAGGTGTTTTTAAGTTTAATGACAGAGGAAGTTTTGAAGTTTTAGTGACCGATCTGCTGACAGCATGTGTTTTAAAATTATACTGACAGACGATATTTTTTCTGTTGTGCTGACAAAAAGTGTTTTCAGTTTTAATTAATGATATAATTTTTTTAGGCTATCTTAAAAGGTCTTGTTTTATTGTTCTCCTCAAAGACGTTGTTTTGATGTTTTACTGACAGACAGTGATTTGTTGTTTTACTGACAGATATTGTTTTGTTGTCCTACTGACAGACGTTGTGTTGTTGTTCTACTGACAGATATTGTTTTGTTGTCCTACTGACAGACGTTGTGTTGTTGTTTTACTGACAGACGTTGTTTTGTTCTACTGAAAGACGTTCTTTTGTTGTTTTACTGATAGACGTTGTTTTGTTGTCCTACTGACAGACGTTGTTTTGTTATTTTACTGACAGACGTTGTTTTGTTATTTTACTGACAGACGTTGTTTTACTGACAGACGTTGCTTTGTTGTCCTACTGACAGACGTTGTTTTTTTTATTTCACTGACAGTTTGCTTTGTAGTTTACTGACAGACGTTGTTTTGTTGTTTTACTGACATACATTGTTTTGTTGTTCTTCTGACAGTTTGCTTTGTAGTTTACTGACAGACGTTGTTTTGTTGTCCTACTGACAGACGTTGTTTTGTTATTTTACTGACAGACGATGCTTTGTTGTCCTACTGACAGACGTTGTTTTGTTGTTTTACTGACATACGTTGTTTTGTTGTTTTACTGACGTTGTTTTGTTGTTTTACTGACAGACATTGTTTTGTTGTTCTTCTGACAGTTTGCTTTGTAGTTTACTGATAGACGTTGTTTTGTTGTTTTACTGACTGACGTTATTTTGTTGTTTTGCTGTCAGACGTTGTTTTGTTGTTTTACTAACAGGCGTTGTTTTATTGTTTTACTAACAAACAGTAATTTGTTGTTCTACTGACAGTGATTTGTTGTTTTACTACCAGACGTTGTTTTGTTGTTCTACTGTAAAAAAGATCTGAAGTGTCTGGTAACTAAAAAATTGTTTTTAGAAAAAAAATAATCAAAAACATACTCAATAAAAAAATCATGAACAGTTATATATACATGATTCATGATATCTTGGAAACTACTTATCAATACCGTATCATGCGGGCTTCAGGCTAGAGACTTCAGGTGAATTTCAAATGAAAATAGAGTTGTAGCAGAGAATGCTTAAGGAATCTGTGATTAAATATCCGGCTTCTGTATCTGGTTTGAACTACATTTTGAACTGACTGTTTACTGTAATTTAAAACTGGCTTACTTTCATGCTTTCGGAAGCATTCTAAATTGTACTATTTTCAATTAATCTCGATGCTGGTTTGTAGTACTTCAAATTCAGTGCTTATGTTTTTGTTTTGAATTATTTGGTGTTTTTTTTTAAATCTTTGTAATTCTCATTTAACTGTTTGAGCTCTTCTCAGTTGAAGGCGCAAGTGAGCTAATTGTCCGTTGCCTGTCGTAATCGCTGTCGTCGTCGTAAACTTTCACTTTTTCACTTTTTTTAAAACTACCGAGGCAATTTCAACCTAACTTGGAACAAATATCCTTAGGTAAAGGGGATTCAAATTTACTCAAATGAAGGGCCATGCCCACTACTAATATATGGAAATATGAACTGAACTTTTTTGAAAGCTTCCTTGTGTAGTGTAGATTCTATTTTTTTTTTAATCATGACCCTTGGGGGGAATGATGGGGTGATCAAATAGGAATGCATAGAAAAAAATCTTTAGAATTCTTCTTCTCAGCAATAGCAAGGTCGTGATTAGCCATATTTATATATAGAAGCATTCTCAGGTAGTGTAAATTCAGGTTGTTAAAATCATGACCCCCAGAGGTAGGATGGAGCGACAGTGACCAAACAAAGACTATAAATATAAGATCTATATATTTTTTTCAAAGCAGCAAAGCAATGGTTATCATTTAGGTCCGGTAGCATCCTAAGATTTTTGTTCGCGAAATCGTGACACATAAGGCAGGTTTGGGTTGGAAGTAGGGCGGTTCCACTATATATTATCTTAATAGAAGAAACTTTAGTTACTCAGGTGAGCGTTCTGGCCCTTGGGCCTCTTGTTTTAAAGTATGTACATTCTTAATCTACCTTTGGGGTTTTTAGTGCTTTATGCATAAACTACTGGGTATAATTACATGAATTTGGTAAAACTGAATACCCCAGCCAGTATTTTTCACCTATGAAAGAGTGAAGAACACGTCTGAAGTCAGTTTAGCGGAGCACGTGATGTTAGGCTACAAGAATGAAAAGTGTAGGGTCACCCGGCAATTGTTTAGAGTTCATGAATTAAGGAAGAAAGACGTCAAATGGAGTGTCACTTAGCTCGGGGCACATACTGGCTCAGTTATATCGCTGAGCCGGAATTCAGCGAAGTCTCAGCGACCTTTAAATGTGCACTGGTCACGTGATTTACATTTTAATAATAACAGGAACTTTAAAGGAACATGTAACCTATTTCAACTATTAACTCACCGTTGGTGGCATTAGACGTTAGACATTAGACATAACATTGATTTTAACACTACCGATTTTCCTTGTGCAGGTGCTCGGGTATCCAAATTACCGGAGAGGGAATACTTGTGTAGCAGCATGCAATGGCCAGAGCTGTAGATCGATAGAACACACTCGCTGGCTTTTTCACCGACTGTCGCACACTCGCTTGATGAGGACTTGTTTTTACCATAAGGGCAGGGTGAGTACCTTTTCTCAGCAAGAAACACAGTCTGTATTCAAACAAGTTTACAGGGAATTTACATTACTGTATATTTTCTTTGATGTAAATGATAAACACAGTCACATTTTTCTGATTGCTGATTGTTTTGGGGCACTCTATTATTCCAAGAGGATGCAGTGTGTCAATGCCTTTTTGTTTGACAACTTTGGCAATAGATTTTGAAGTTCGAATATGAATCTGTAGAGTGTATTAGATAAGAATATATATATATACAAAAGTGCTGTTCTTAATAAAAAGTCTTTGTTAAGAACTTCTTTGAATAAAGATTACAATAAAAGATTACACTATAGGCAATTAAAGAAAAGTATTTTTTTTTTCAAAATGAATATGGTAAATGGAATTAATCCTTTTTCTAATGTTTTTAAAGAACAACTTATCCCTGGATATTGCAAGTTCTCAGTGACGGCTATATTATTAGATCTATAGAATAGAAATCAATGGAAGAGCCTGTTAATGTACATACATCAATCGCGTTAGACGCGTTATGATTATAATTTTATCTTAACATTTGCAGTTCTTCATCAAAAATCGTGCTATTAAACGAAGGCTTGGATGTGCATGACAAAACATCCAAATCAATAAATTTGTACACGTGTATGCCTCTTTTCCAGTCTATTGTATGTGATATGAAGTTTGTTTAGATTTTATTACGATTGCTACAGAAAGCGATAAATTCTGGCTGAAATATATTGAAGTCAGTATATATTACTAGCTGTAATTCACTGAGAGCTTATAAAGCCTTAAGGAGGCTAGGTGGTCAACAAATTATTTTTTTATTAACCACCAGAAATAACTTAAATTTTGGGTTATGGTATCTTAAGCTGTCAACTATCATTTGGCAAAGAAAAATTTCATAGATTTTAATTTTAAAATTTGATCATTTTATTATATCTTTATATGGAGCTCTTCTTCTTAAGGAGATAAAAATAGTCTAAAAATGGCCATGACCACCCAGCCTCGTTAAGGTCCATACCAAAGGAAACCTCAAAATCTTCAACAAAAGCTTTGTTTTGCCTTATGTGAACCTTTTTACATTTTCTTTTCGTAAGACATCGATAGTTATGCAATGAACGATGTCTTTCAGAAGAAAATACAAGGTGCATGCACAATGTGTTCAGTGTTTCTACCACCCCCTACTTTCTATTGATGATCATTTAATTTAGAATTATAAGAAATATTATTGTTTTTTCCCCTATATTTATAAATTAGGTTAGGAATTATTAACTAAAGATATTATACTTCGAGTAACTAGGGGTAATAATTTCTCATTCCACATCTGGCAAAACTAGTAAGGAGCTGAGTCGGTGTGGTGGGGCCCCTCCCCCCGAAATTTTCGTAGCATTACATTTCTATGTAAAAGTAAGGATTAAAAATCTTGGGCCTTGTAGGGAACGCGGAGCCATTTAAAACTAAGGAGAGAAATGTACCAGAGAATGCGCTGTATACGCCATTAGGCAGGTGCTGCTAGAAGACCGACGACATCCCCACAACAAAAACTCAATACTTAAAATGTGTTGTCGTCATATTGGGTGGAAACAGGGTCAGGGAATATTGTCACAGTTCGGTTCCCTACCCTTCTAGAGAAAGAAAGAGACAAATAAAAAAATTAATCCAACCTTCAAGCATTCCTTGAAAAATTGACAGAAAAATATTTATTTATTTATTCTTTAAATTGTCAGTCGTATTTTTGCCTAATCTGTGTTTTCAAAAATAAAAAAAAATTTCAAAAAGTGTATTATAAGTGTCGAGGTTGAAGTAAATGAGGCATTGCTAACTAAGTCTTGTGGTTTTAAAGGGGATAGGGGGGGTGCATCCATTTTTAGACTATTTCTATCTCCTTTAGAAGAAGAGCTCTATATAAAGATATATACAAAAATGATAAAATTTTAAAACTAAAATGTATGAATTTTTTATTTGCCAAATGATAGTAGACAGCTTAAGATACCGTATCTAAAAAAAAGTTAAATCTGGAGGTTAATTTGTTGACCCTCCAGCCTCCTTAGTTGATTTAAAAAAAATCAAGATTGGTAAGCTGACTTCTGATATATATGCCCAATAATCTACCAATCAGTAAACATGAACACATTACCCATTTTCTTTATGTAAAATTTGAAGGCATAAAACTAATATTGGAGATGTTTCCCGTTGATTGGTGTGATCTATATATTTTATGGTGTAGAGGAATTAAAATGGGACACTGAATAAAGTTTTTCTCCAATGAATAATTCATGAATATGATAGTTCTGTGTATAATCAAAATTTAGGTAAATTCCTAAATTAATGTATATGCCCTTAATATGTGTGGGCAATAAATGCTATAGACAAAAATTGGGTTATCAATGTTGCAGCACCAGGCGTTTTTGGACTTGCTAAAGAGGTGTTAATTCTCGGGGTTTTATGGACCCCAACCTTAATATCTATAATTTGTTCTACAATTGATTTCTCCCCCCATTTGAACAATATAAATATATAAGTACCGACTGAAAGGTATTATAGATTATAGGATTATGCATGCCAATCGAGGTCTAACTAGAATTTATAAGATAATTGCATTTTTATTATTCCGGGTGATTCAAAACGAGAATGTGCTTAAAATTCAAGTATGTTACAAAAAGGGAACCATTCCTTACCTCCTTTTACAATTTTTTTAAAATGAAAAGTCAGGATTAGTCATTAATTATAGAAAAATTCAGTACTAAATATGAAATCCTCAACAGGCGTATAAAACAAGTCAGATCGATTTGTCAATATCAATGGACGCTGTCAGTCAGATTTTCAAAGACTTCAAACCTAGACTGTTGTGGGAATGTACAAAGCGGAACGCCAGATATTTTAAGGCCAGTGCAGTACACTGATCAATAGCTATTATACCCGCCATTATACCTATACCTTGATTTAGCAGAGTTTGTTGTCATTTCTACCTTGATTGACTTCGAGTATTTCACGACTGACTTGTTTCTATCTCTGTTGTCTAATATTTTACAACTCAGTTGTTTTTATGTTGTTTAAATTTTTTATGAGTCAGTTGTTTGTACGGTTATACCTGGGCTTAGTTCTCTCTCTCTCTCTCTCTCACACACACACACACACACACACACACACCCACACACACACACACACACACACACACTCACACACACACACACACACACACACACACACACACACACACACACACACACACCCCCACACACACACACACACACACTCTCACTCTTGAATTACCTAATCAGATGTTTGGATCTTTTGATGTCTAATATTTAACGACGTGGTTGTTTGTATCTCTATATTTTGTCTTTAAATTATCGACTCTCTTGTTATGTTCCCCAAACGAAGTTGGGGAACATATTGTTTTTACTCTGTTTCTTCTTCTTATTATGTTCCCCAAACGAAGTTGGGGAACATATTGTTTTTACTCTGTTTCTTATTATTATTATTATTTTTCTTCTCGGGAAAATTTTGTCCGCGAATGATCTTGTAAAGTACACATCCGATTAAGGGGAAACCTTTTTAGGATAAGTAGGCATGTTATGTAGATTTGCGGAACGAAGGTCATTTTGCGCGCACGTGCTTGCAAGAGCGCGCACGTGCAACACGTGAAATGACCAATATACTTGAAATTGCCGTAACTTTTACATTTTTTGATGTAATGCTTTGATATTTAGAATAAATAGACATATTATAAATGTAGATAAGATGACATTGTCAACATGCCATTTTGCGCGCACGTGCTTGCAAGAGCGCGCACGTGCAACACGTGAAATGACCAATATAATGGACATAGCCGTAACTTTTCTATTTTTTTATGAAATCTTTTGAAATTTATAATGTAAGCATATATTAATAGCGTAGACAAGATGACATGATCAAAAAAGCAAGATCTCACGCGCATGCACGTGCGCTTCGCTCTGATTGGCTGAAACTAAAGTCTCTATATCTTTCTTGTTTTTCGACAAAATCCTATGAAATTTTCAACATAGCCATGCATTAAGATATCCCACAACATGATATATAGCAATTATCATGAAAACACGTGCATGCACGTGTGCTGCAATCTGATTGGCTTAAACTTTGAATAGCTATAACTCCCTTGGTTTTCAACCAAACAGGATGGAATTTGGAACATAGATAGATATAATGAACTTCTACAAGACGGTATGATCACCATGCACATGCATACACGTGCGTATACGTGCGCTTTAATCTGATTGGCTGAAACTTTAAACAGCTATATTTCCCTTGGTTTTCAACCAAACGGGGTGGGATTTAGAACATAGATAGATGTAAAGGACTTCTACAAGAAGATATTGTCACCATGCTCATGTATGCACGTGCGTGCACATGAAATGAGATAAATCAAAAATACACTTGAATGAGCGTAATTTTTAATACTTTTGGATTAAGGACTTTAATATTTAGTTTATAAAAAATATATAGATTGTGTAGACAAGATGATATGGTCATTACGCACATGCATTCACATGCGCACGCTTGCAATGCTAAAATTTGAATGAACTTGGCGTTGTTAAAGTCTCAAATTCATAGATTTTGTCCTATTTAATGAAGCTTACAGGGAATATGGCACCAAAAGAGACTTGGAGAGCGTTTGGGGAACATCTGTAACGGTCCCCGTTACAATTAGCACTAGTTATTATTATTATTATTATTTTTCTTCTTCTTCTTCCTGGAACTTTTTTGTCCGGGAATGATCTTGTAAACTGTTCGTCCAATGTAAGTAAAACCTTTTTAGGGTTAGTAGACATGTTATGTAGATTTGCGGAATCAAGGTCATTTTGCGCGCACGTGCTTGCAAGAGCGTGCACGTGCAACACGTGAAATGACCAATATAATAGATATAGCCACAACTGTTCTATTTTTAGATGAAATGCTTTGAAGCTCATAATGTGAGGATATATTAGCAGTATAGACATGACGACATGGTAAAAATAGCAAGATCT